TCTGCATATTTTACACATTATTTTTGGGCTCTGAAGTTTTTCCATCAAACGCTCTAAATGTATGAGTATTTTTTGTATATCACCGTTGAATGGTTACCTTTTTGATACAATCCATTGCTGATAAGATAAACTGTCTGAAATTTGTACAGTAAAAATGGTATTAGCAAAATAGATACTGGATGCCAAAGTAAACATTATGCATGAGTCAACAATAAAACCGTATCAAAGTGGTCTTAACATATACATACATACATATACAAATACATATACATGCACATTTACATATGTAGATGTGACTCTTGTGTGTATTCATGTGTCTTTACCCAGTACGGAAAGCAGCTATTTATATAAATATTGAAGTTGAACCAGTTTTTTACCCACCACAACTAATTGAAGAACTGATTTTCTTCCTTGGAATGAACTGTTTATTTTGACATGGAGATGTCCTACTGTCAACTACTTTAAAATTCATTTGGCTTAAAGCACTGCTTCGTTTCAGTAAGCTTTCGTTCTGCACTTCCCAGATGTTTTTTTTTAAATTTCAAAGACACAAAAAAAAATGTATTATCATTTCCGTTGGGCTTCGAACCCGGACCTTCTGGAAGTTAACAAGTCACAGCAGGCGTCTCTGCACGCTCAGCTACAGTCAGACATGTAAATGTGCTTTCAAATATTTAGTTTGATTGTGTGCGCTTTGTATAAATAAAAATGTAAAAATATGTGATACGTATATTTGCAAATGTCTTTTCAACCAAATTAAAATTACTTACAGCCATTTTCACGAAAGCAATTTAAGTGAAAAATTACTTTAATTTTCTGAATTTTATATGGAAATTGACAGCAAATAAGAAATCATTTTCCACTTAATTTACTGATGAAACCGGCTGGTAGTATTATATGTAGTTAATTGCCCAAACTTAGATGATTTTTTAACTAATATTGAATTATCTGCAAAGATATCAAAGGTGTAAGCATTTGATTTATCTCAAGGAGGCTGCTAAGTGATTATACATCAATTTGAATTCAGTTGCTACATAAGCAGAAATAAATTACTTTTTCTGAGGAAATTGGTTGAGCTATGCCGTACTGGGTAAATACCACACTAAGCCATGTGTGCCAATTAATTTTTGTGCAAGGCGAGAAAATAAATGTTTATTTTCTAGTCTCACCTATTTATTGCCTCAATATATACATATGTACATACATACAAACATACATGAATGTATATGTATTATACTTTTTTTGGATTCCAGAAATGGATACTACTGTTTTTTTTTGGAAATATTGCATTATTATACCTAATTGAAGTATATTTTAACCCGGGTGACTAATATTTTGTAATAGTTTTAAAGCATATGTTTAAACTTGTTTCCTAGTAGCCCAGTGTGTATGCCGCCTATAAAAATAATAAGATAATTTTCGAAGAGAAAGCCTACAAATAGTGGATATGATTTTTGGTTTGCGCCGATTAAAGAAGCTGCAGCCCTTCAAGACGAAATTATTGCAAATTACTTTATCTTAATTGTTTCTTTTGTTATGTACATACATATGTAATTCGCGAAGAAAAAATAGATATGAAATATACATTTTCTATAATAAATTTTATTTCCACATTTGAAGTACAACTGATAAATAACCTTTGAAATTGATTATAGAGTTAACGATATTCTCAAATGAAGATCAAACTCCCTTTTCATTGAGAAAGCTGTAATTTTCAAATCAAAATCAATTCATTTTCACGCCTTTGACATTTGCGAAAGGCTTTGATTTCAAATCGTTATAAAATATATATCAAAGCTAATTGTTTGTTGGGATGCCTTAAGCGCAGCTTGGCTGTACCTGTAGACACGTAAACTCCTTACCCTCCACCTATTTTTCACCACATCGTCTGCCGCCGGCAATTTCCGCATCGCCTCACTCAGTGTTATACCAACATCCGCTTCTTTTTAGTCTACAGGTGGCCTTTAAGACTTCCCCTCGTATGATGACACAAAGTGACGGTAAGTTCACCAGTGCTTCAAGAGCACCACTAAAAAAATTAAAGTTAAATAAATAAGCTATCAAGCAACCACTTTGGTTCTTTACTATCGAACCAGATACATTTTCGTGGACCTCCTCTTACAACTCGTGGACCCCCATATTTTTTTCACACCAACGTAGACCCCTGTCGAGTCTCCCGTGGATCCCTAGGGTACACCTGGACCACTTTGGGAATCACTGGTTTAAATGAATATAAATGACTACGAAAACGATAATGGCCCAACTAAGACAGTAATATGTTAGAAAACTGACCCAATTGAATCAGCGTTTGAAACTTGATTAAGGCAATCAATGTTACTTCTGGTATACCAAATCAACCCAATTAATTTAATGAAAATATAAATGAATCGGAAGTTTTAACAAATGGCCAATTTAATACTGTCTCACTATAGAACGTCCGGGTGTGAGATATGAAGCTATAGACACAATCATACATATTATATATATGTAAATAAGTGTGAATGTCTATCAATATAAACCCCAGATACACCCGCGTAATAAAAAATATATATACATTACATAACATTCCTTTTTCACTGCCTGCCGGATAACTAGATATAAGTACTGTATATGTATGTAAATTTAAAACTTTAAATCTGCTTTTTTCGAGTTTTTAGTTTTTTTAGTTATGACAGTATTGAGTAATTGACGAATATGCTGGCATTGAGTGAAACTTGACCAACCTTAACGAATATTCGAGTATACCAATCCTATGGTAATTTGTCATGAATAAAATATGTGCATAATTAGGCAATTGTCATGCGCTCAGGGTATTTTAAATGTAAAGTGTACGTATTTTAAAATTGGAAATGAGAATTTAAATATGGCTCTCTTTACAGCTTAGAATCAACTATGATTTGATTAATAATGGAGAAATATTAAATTCAGTAATCAGTAACTTTGTTCACAATATGCTCAAATCGCGGGCGTAGTATTATCACTTAAACCTAATCTCTATGAAGAAAGTATAAATCAAAAAGCTTTAATTAAATATGAAAAATGGGGTAAAATTTGGTTTTTATACGAATCGGATATATTGAAATTATTATATGTATGCATGTATGTTTAGTTCGTCTAAGTTGTCGATTATTACTTCCCATTAATAACTCTCATGACAAAATCTTATCGTATAACGCTGCATATTAAGGTTATCAGAAGAAAAATATTTAATCAGGTATAACAAATACATACATTATTAAGATTATGAGATCCACTTATTGTTTTTAACAGAGAGATAAATTCCTTATTTCGCCCCTAAACTCATTCTAATTAATCCCAGTCATGTTGATTTAGGCAAAGATACGTCTCAAATCCTATAGTCAAGTGCATGACTTGAAACTGGGCTTTTTTACGACATGAACATGTGTATTAGGAAGGGGCGAAAATCCGCTTTTTTAGAATTTCGATTGGTAATAGCAAAAATATGGTTCATTATGCTTCAAAAAAAATCTGTGTGAAATTTTTTGGTCAATATCCTAGGCTCGCAAAAGTCCACCACAGTTCAATATGCACAAAAAAAAATTTATAAATAATTTAATTAATCAAGTTTTTACTAAAATTCCAATAATATTCTAAAGTATTAGTCCTACATAATTTGGTATATGGACCTTTTTTTGTAGAGAATCGAAGTTAGTTACTTAAGGAACCCATTTTTTTAGTACTTGAACTTTGATGGACTTGGGCGAGCCTAGGATATTGACCAAAAATTTTCACACTTCACACAGATATTTTTTTAGAGCATAATGAACCATATTTTTGCTATTACCAATCAAAATTGTAACAAAGCGGATTTTCGGCCCCCGCTAATGTGTATGATAACAAAAACGGATTCGCGCGAAAATGCTAAACTAAAACAAGTAAGATAGTCTAAGTTCGGGCGGAGCCGAACATTAAATACCCGGCGCAAGTATTAAATATATGTTTTCCACCTTTCCGAAAGCTACCGCTACATGATAAACCGGGGTGTATAAATTTTAAGTAAATTAGCGTCCTTAAATTTCGAAATATTGAAATTTCAAGCATTTCTGAAATTTACCGTTATATGAAAAGCGGCCGTAATTTTAGTCCGATTTCAACAATTTTCAACGGTTTGCTTTTATGTGGCAAGCACAATACCATACCGAGTTTGGTACAAATTGCTAGAACGGTTAGCGAGATACATATATGTGATCACAAGTGGGCGGTGCCACGCCCATTTTCCAAAATTTTATCATAAACGTATTTCGTGGTAAAGAATTGTTGCAACCATCAACTTTGAATAAATTAGCTTTAATATTTACTGATTTATCGAGGATTTCGTAGTTTTCTAAATTACCGTTCGGCAATTTGGTATGCTGTACCAGGACCAACAACTGTGCCAAGTTTGGAAGAAATTGGTGCAGCGGTTACCAAGATATACACATGTAACCATAAGTGGGCACGGCTACGCCCATTTGCCAAAATTTTTTAATATTCTTATTTTTCGTCTAAAACTCATTGTAAATATCCACTTTGAGTGAATTATCTTCAGTAGTTACTAAAATATCGCAGTTTTCGTATTTCTGAAAATTACCGTTATATGGGAGGTAGGCGTGGTTATTGTCCGATTTCGCCCATTTTCAATACCGTCCGTCCTACGCCCAAAAGAAGTCCACGTACCAAGATTCGTTAAGATATCTCAATTTTTACTCGAGTTATCGTGTGCACAGACGAACGGACGGACGGACGGACAGACAGTCACCGCTCAATCGATTTCTCTTTTCATTCTGATCATTTATGTACTCATTTGTCTATATCTATCTCCATTCGTTTTGCCTGTTTTAAACAACCGTTATGTGAACAAAGTTATAATACCCCTGTGCACAAGTGCGCTCGGGTATAAATATAGTTAGCGTAATTCATATTTGCCTATAAAAACCTGCCAAAAAGTTAAGGAATGAAAAATTTAATGCGTACATGTTATAAGTACGGATTTCACTTACCAGAAGAAAATTCTTAGAGAATTCGCAATCAACAAAGCAAGACAAACGTGAAGCGAAAATCCATCTGCATCTTGTGTTTTCTTGATCTCCAAATATTGCGGTACATAAGGTATAACACCGCCGATGACCATAGCGGAAGCTGCTGCTCCACTAGCCACATGACCGACAGTAATACCGAGTTCATCATGAATGACCCAATCCATGTTGACTGAGTTAAATGCTTTTACAGATGCTTAAGTCGACGCCGATATAGATTTCTATAAGTAATAGTTTTACTTATGCTATTGAATGATGCGTCCAAATTTAATTTGGTTTGTAGTAACAGTGGAAGATTGATAGTCGTAGTGTTGATTTACATATATAGAAACATATGTATTTATGTTGTAGTATTGCTGCTAACAATTTTGCCAATACTTATATGCAATTTTTGTATTACATGTCTTGCGACTTAAATTTAATTAGAATTGCAAACGGATGGATATGTTTAATGTTGTGGATTTTTTGACTTGTTCATTTGCAAAATAAATAAATATGTATTTAAAGATGCGTTTCGCAATTATTGCCCGAACGCGTTGCTGGAAGTTCTGCCAATCCGGCCGGAGGTAGCGTGCTTTGCTAAGCTTGTGCAATTTTCACTTGGTAGGTATTTAATCCGAAAATATGGAATTGTCGAAATTCACATTACCCTAATTGACTAAATTAAAAAAACAAAAAGATTTTTTGTTACACAGAGCAAGTAAATATTCGCACAGGCAAAGAAGAGAAATAATATATGTACATATGTACGTATCTATGTAAATATGTTTATACAGATGCTCTTAATGAGCGATTAGAAAACAAGGAACCTGTTTTATTTCTGGAATGACGGGTGCATTAAGAATAGATATACATAAATGTATGTTTATACATACATATATGGTTAGGTACGTGCGCATTAATTTAAATTATGTGGCGAAACAGTCACGAATCTTCCACGTCTATAAAAGAATTTTGGGTATGAAAGCAATGAGAAGTAAACGTTGACAGAATGAAGTGCCTCGGTGGCAACGTGCAGAAATTTTATTTCTGTGTGGGTGATGATACCATGGAAGTCACCTAAATATAGTCTATGTGGTAAAGATTAGTTATACAGTGCCTCGGTGGCAACGTGCAGAATTCTGTGTGGGTGATGATACTATGGAAGTCATCTAAATTAGTTATAATTTTGAAGCGTTTTCACAATTATTTTATGTGGTAAATGCATATATATATGTATACTGCACAATTAAGTAGCAATTACGTTTTTTCACTATATTAGTTTTCCACACTTTGGTGCTATTTATTGAATTTTCCATTGCGAGTGCATACATACATATGTATGCAGGTATGTGTGTATACTCAGATACATGAAACGAAATTCAGGAAAATCTCGAATACGCGTCTTCACTGCGAAATTTCCACATCAATCGTTTGCGCTGCGGCATAATTGACAATTTTTTCACTTTTTAATACCTATTCAAAATTATTTAATCGAATCACTAGATTACACCGATTATAGATTTTCACAATATTCGGCGCCTTTCGAAATTGTTTATGTTTACAACTCTTTCAACAATTATCTTCCTTTGCATTCGTTACCAAAGTCATTATAAATAATTTAATTTTCTCACACACACACAAATATGAGAAGATGGAACCAGGGCGCGCACGCACACGTCCAATTCTCATTCTGGTTCAAGATTTTCTGATTCTGATTTTTTGGCCAAATTCACAAAAGCAAAAGCGGAAATTCTTTTTCACATTTGTCGTTCAAAGCAGAATGTCAAAAAGGAGAACGTCATGCGAACAAATTGCTGCTGAATGTCGAACGAAAACAAAACATAACAAGAGCTGCCACAAGTTTATTTCAAAAGACACAGATCGTAAATGTATAAGAAGGCACAAAGAACGTAAATCCAAAGAACATAAATCTATAAAAAGCTCCAACTCGTTACTTTGAAAATGTGCCGCGTGTTATTTATTTTCTAAATTAAAATAAATTTTCCTAATTACTTGTGCAATAATAATAAAATCAAAAATCTGCCGCGGACAGAGTCAAAAGCGAGACGAACTCCTCATCGTCGCGGCATAATTTCAAAGTAACGAGTGGTCCCTAAGGTTGGTGTTATGCAGAAATTTTGTTTGGCAAACTGCGTTCAATTGTTGTTGCAGCAAACTCGGAGAGTGCGGAGAATTGCCATTCCCACGACAGCCGGTTCTACGTACCAGAATGACTCGGGTTTCACCCGACCAAGGGCTGTTGTTTCGGCGATCTAACCCCGTTTAGGTCGGCGAAGTATCTTAGAAGTTGTCCGTCCATAGGGCTACATTCACTACGCATTCTCCCAATCAGGGCTGGCATCGAGTCAAACACTGGGCCAGAAACATACACCTGCTGTGTATGCCGAAGACGATTACACCACAACTCCACCTCAGTCAAGTGTAATGCCTGCGAGGGGTGGAGTCACCTCAGGGTCTGCTCGGGACTACGGACACACAGACAGTGGACCACGTCGTACGTGGCCCCCTGTTGCTCAAACAGAGCAGCCTCCACGGCTAACCATAGTCCGCCCGAGCAGCCCCACACACTCACACAGCAGCCACACACAGTCACCACAACACAACAACATAATAACACCACAGACCGTACCACAGCCACCACAGACCACATAACACACACAACCGCACCACCACCCACACGCCGCCGCCAACAACTCCTGGTTCCAACTACAATCTGCACGGTATGTCAGACCAGGATATTCCGTAATGTGACATCAGTCAAGTGCAACACCTGCCTTGGCTGGTGCCACTTTAGGGCATGCTCAGGTCTGCGTACCACGCGAGATTGGACGGGGAACTTCGAGGGCCCGTGTTGCGCTGCTCGGTCGCAGACTTCAATTGCGACGCCCCCCCACCACCACCACAGGGCGGCAATCAACTCAGCAGCACACACAGCCAACGGCGGCAAGAACATACACTTCACTTAGACCACACATCACGACACGTCTCCCGAACCACATGAAGCTCCTTCAATTCAACTGTAACGGGCTACAGAGCAAGATTGAGGAGATAACCGTCTTCATGTGTCGGCATGGTATATTAATAGCTGCGGTCCAAGAGACGAAGTTGCACAGCAATTCAACTTTGTTGAATTGCGCCGGGTACAACGTGCACCGTCGAGATCGCGAGCGAGATAATGGTGGTGGCTTAGCGTTCATCACGCACCACACCGTGCAGTATCGTCTTATCGAAGCAGACATCGACCGCAGGGATACCACCCTAGAATGTCAGGGCATCGCTATCCGGTCAGGCGATGTCGAGCTCGAAATATTTAACATATACATACCCCCTGTCACCTGCTGCCCGGCAGGATATCACCCTGATATAGGTGCGCTCCTCAGAGGTGAAAACCGTATGGTAGTAGGTGACTTTAATGCGCACCACGATCTTTGGCACTCAAGCCTGTCAAACGATCGTAGGGGAACAGACTTGGCTGAGCAGATAGACGATTCGACATTCTGCACAATGAACGACGACGCACCCACCAGGATTATGGGTAACTGCAGTAGCTCGCCAGACATCACAATAGTCAGCGCTGGTCTGATAAACAGCATAACGTGGCGACCTATACTGACTCTAGCATCAGACCATCTACCCATAGTCATTTCGATTGATAAACCGACCGACTTTGCCTCCGCCAAACACCGGACCTATATCAACTTTTCTAAAGCTGATTGGAAAGGTTACGCGGAGTTTACCGAAAACACCTTCGCAGCGCTCCCCACACCAACCGACGTCCATCTCGGTGAACGTAAGTTCCGCAGGGCTATCACTGCTGCTGGAGCTCGCTTCATACCGGCAGGATGTATATCGGACCCACGTCCAAACTTCCCTGCCGAAGCGGCTGTTCTAGCCGATGAGCGTGATAGCCTTCGTCCGGCCGATCCCGGAGATCCCCGTATCAGGGATCTCAACGCGGAGATTCGGCAACTTGTAAACGTACATAAGCGGAAGAAGTGGGAGGAGCATCTGAAGACTTGTAATTTCACCTCTGGTGTGAGCAAGCTTTGGTCAACCGTGAGGTCATTGTCTAATCCGACGAAGCACGACGACAGAGTCGAAATTTCCTTCGGCGACCATGCCTCGTCGGACCCGGAGCGATGCGCGAGCTATTTTAGCCGGCAGTTCATACTGCATCCTCCGGTGGACAAAGCCAAGCGTCGAGTGACCAGAAGGCTGCACAAACTGCCAACAACTTGTGCCCCCTTGCTTTCACTTGCGGTGAAGTTCAGGTGGCCATCGGGAAGGCGTAAGCCTCCAAAGCCATGGGTCCCGACGGAATATGCATGCTGATGCTGAAAAATTTGGGTCCTGCGGGGGTAGCGTACCTAACGGAGGTCCTCAACCTGTCAATGGCCACTCTCATCATCCCAGACATCTGGAAGGTGGGGAGAGTGGTCCCACTGGTCAAACCGGGGAAACTTGCCAACAAAGGAGATTCGTATCGTCCGATTACACTCCTTTCCCCGGTAGCGAAGACACTCGAGGCCTTGCTACTCCCGTACTTCACAAACCACCTGACCCTAGCGAAGCATCAGCATGGTTTCCGTAAAGTGCACAGTACAACAACAGCACTTAACGCCATAAACACTCAGATAACTCGAGGCCTTAACCGTAACCGTCCCTGTGAGAGAACGATTCTAGTAGCGTTGGACTTGTCAAAGGCGTTTGACACCGTCTGCCATTCCACGCTACTAGAAGATATAGAGGCCTCCTCTCTCCCACAGAGGCTCAAACGGTGGTCGGCAAATTATCTGAGTGGTCGACATTCGTCGGTAATATTTAGAGACAAAACGAGTAAGCAGCGAAAAATAAAACAGGGGGTTCCTCAGGGTGGTGTCCTTTCCCCGCTACTGTTTAACTTTTACATTTCAAAGCTGCCTCAACCACCAGAGGGAGTCTCGATTGTCTCCTATGCCGACGATTGCTCGATCATGGCGACTGGGAATGGAATTGATGACCTGTGTTCGAAAGTAAACGGCTATCTCTCCGAACTTTCTCGCTTCTTCACTGCAAAGTGTCTAGCCCTCTCCCCTACGAAATCCTCCGCGACCCTGTTCACAACCTGGACGAAGGAGGTCAGGCTACCGCTGGGGATTCACGTCGATGACACACCAATTCCGACGGTGAATAACCCCAAAATACTCGGAGTAACATTCGACAGCCTGCTCTCCTTCTCTGCGCACTCAACCGCTATTGTCAATAAAGTACAGAGCCGCAACAAGGTCCTCAAGTCGCTAGCCGGCAGTACTTGGGGCAAAGACAAAGAAACGTTGCTGGCAACATACAAGGCAATAGGCCGGCCGGTTTTGAACTACGCATCGCCAGTGTGGTCGCCAGGGACTAGTAGGACGCAGTGGACGAAGCTACAGACGGTACAAAATACGGCACTTAGGACAGCGACGGGATGCCTCTTGATGTCGCCTGAACACCACCTGCACGGCGAGGCGCAAATGCTCCCGGTAAAGGAGCATAATATAATGCTCTGCAAGCAGTTCCTGATCGGGAGCCACAGAAGTGGCCACCCAAGCAGACAGCTGCTTGCAGAGGAGCCCTCGCCTAGGCACGTCAGGAGGCATCTATATGAACTGACGGACGAAGTCCAGAGGTTCATTAAGCAACCTCTGGACCCGACAGCTTACAGACAGGCCCTGAACGGCATTCACAGGGACTCAGTCTCGAAATATGTAGACTCTAGACCTGTGAATGCCGTTCTAGGCATACCACCCCCGGACATAGACGAGACGGAGCTTCATCTGCCTCGGGAGACACGCACTACACTCGCACAACTTCGCTCCGGCTACTGCAGCAGGTTGAACTCCTACTTGAGTAGGTTGAATGAGGATGTGCCGAATGAGTGTCCGGCATGCGGAGAGACCCCACACAAATCGAAACATCTCTTCGCATGCCCGGAAAACCCGACAACCCTAACGGCCTTGTCCCTGTGGACAAACCCCACAGAAGCTGCACGCTTCCTAGGGTTGCCGTTAGTGGAACTTGACGACAACGACTGAGATACCAACCGATCTGGGCGGGGTTGTTGTAGCCGCTACAACAACAACAACAACAGTGCGAGTTTGGCGACTCTCACAGCAAACTAATTTTGTTTGGTCAAACTGCAGCAAATTCGGCGTTGTCATATACAAAAATTTTAAATTGTGCGCGTTATGTACATCTGAAATTCTTATTTCGTGTTGGCAATAGCCATGAAAACCATAATGAACGTGCAACCCTGTGCCAAACTCGACATAACCACCTCCGAGCAAACTAAGCAGCCGCCATTTAATTTGGCAAACAAAAGTTTGTTTGTCGACGGCATGCGTACCAAAACGCAAGCCGCGAATATTAGGTTAGCCTGTAACACCGACCTTATAGATTTACGTTCTTTGATAGATTTCCGTTCTGTGAGCTCAGTTAAAGTTTAATTGCAGAAAATGTGGCAGCAACTAATGGAATCAGCTGATTGTGGAACCTATATTTTTACAGCTGACTTTAATTTTATTTATTTGGGATATTCTAATTTAGCTCGTAGGCAAATAAAAGTTTTATAATCGCAGTTTTATAAAATATAAAACTCTTAATTATCGAAATGGCACAACTCGTAGTGCTACGTCAGCTGCTGCATAAGAATCCCAGCATAACATCAACATTGAAGGTTAAATGGAGCCGCATGATTGCGACGACACAGGGTCCCCTTTACCAAACGCGGAAGGAAGATCCGAATGCCAATCGCACTTTACAAGAAACCACTGGCCCTACTGATATATCGACAGACGTGCGGCCTCTGGCTGAAAAAATTAAGGAAAACACAAAAACTGCCAGTTACACAGCGATAATTCTGGCTGGGGTTGGGGTGACCGGCATAGTATTTTACGCAATATTCCGCGAACTTTTTTCCAGTTCTAGTCCAAATAATATTTATTCCGACGCATTCGATCTAGTAAAAGAAGTAAGTTCATGAGAAAGCTATTAGTTGAATATTCGAATAATAATTATTTCTAGGATCCACGTGTGCAGGATGCACTAGGCGCCCCAATAAAGGGATATGGTGAGGAATCGCGGCGTGGTCGCAGACAGCGAGTTGCACATTCAACCTTCGAGCGTAACGGCGTCTTACATGTACGCATGCAGTTCTATGTTCAAGGTATACGGAACCGAGGCACTGTGCATTTGGAATCACGAAAGGTACTTGTATGAAGTATGTCCAATTTTCAATTAAGTGTTTTACAGTTTGTCATTATATTTTAATAGACCCCGTCAGGGAAAATGGAATATCGGTATTTATTTGTCCAACTTGATTACTACCCGCATACAACGATAATAATTGAAGATAATCGCGCTTATGATCCGAGTCCGGCGTCAGCAAAAAGCCTTATCGATTCTGAAAGTTTGGATTTCACCTCTTTTCAGAAAAAATGATAGCATACAAAGTGTCAATACTTATGTCGAATAATTAAGCGTGAAAATGGTTAACAAGAATTTGAATTTGTGGTTTAATGCTCAACCACATAATATACACCTATATTAGCAGACATCGATTCTCCAACAGTTAGCAAGTGTCGAAACGAACAAACTCGATGCAGTACAACCAAATTCGATATCGTCCTTGCTAGCTAACTTTGTTGTTGCTTTCACAGACAAAATTTGTGGCGAAGTGGCGAATCGATGACAGCTATTATAATATGCGGCAATATTTTTTTTAAATGCTAAGTTCAATGTAGTTTGATTTCACCTAATTTTAAATTTGAATACATTTTTAACAATTACGCGTCTCATGATAAATACACTTCAATTAGAATTACGTTTGTACATACTTATGTTGATATTATCAAAGGGCACTGAATATTGAAAACACATTAGTTGATGCATTATTAAAGTCTGATTTAATAGAACTCTGCATATCATAGAGAATGGAACAGAAGTATTTTTTACTACATATATTTTTTTATATTTAGTACATAACAGATGTAGAGAAATCATCTAAATCAATGGTATCTTCTGCTAAGCATTCACGCCCGTGTCAGTAAAGCTTTTTCCAAGGTATAACTTCCCAAGCTCGAATAATGTGTCGGCCAAAAAGATAATCTTTAATCTTATTCATCACGTAGAAAGAGATGCCGAAGAAGGAAGCAAAATATAACCAAAACTGACCTAATCGCTCCCAGACACTTAGGTGGTATCGTGCAGGTACCTGTAACACATCTAAATCCAGCTGTACACGAAGAGTTTTTCCTGGTTCATGTTGAAAGTAAGTGTCTTGCTCTGAAAGTTGAAAATATGCCGGATTCGCCTTTAACTGTTCGAGAAGGGAGGGAATTTGGAATTCTTGCAACTCAACATGACTATTGTTAAAGCTTAGCTGCACTTCGCGGAATTTCGTCTTTGTATTACGACCAGGAAAAGGGCATGTAAACTCTATATACTGTTTTAGTTTCAGTTCAGCCTTGAGCAATATGGTACCAGCTCTTATCTGCGCCGCTGATGGGATAAAGGTATGGTAAGTAAGCAGCGCTGGAGGCGAAAGTGGACACTTATGCTAAAGCGATTTGAAAAAAAGCTAAAAAAA